ATCTTTTGATTAAACTCTATGGTTGTAATGTGGGTGAAATTAATACAGCAACTTCATCTAGTTTGTTCAATATTAACATCAACAATTGGATCGAAGGCCTCTCGATGTATGGACAGAATATAGAGAATTTAATCTCTCACAGACCAAACAGAAACAGACTTTTTATCGAACACAAAGCGTAGCTTCGGACGTGCATTTCATTAAATGCTGCATTCCAAACCTGTAACAACAGCAGCACTGTCACATTGCAATTAAGTCACAGAGCAGAGAGTAATGGAGGTTATATTCAAAAGCACAAATAATTCACACACCCTCACTAAGACAAGTGAAACATTGTCTTGGTGAGACAATGTTTCATTTATACATGCTGCTTCATGTGTTTATCTACGCAATAGTTTCCAGTTTCTGACAAAGCGAGCTCAGAGGTCCAAATGCTTTCTGAAAAAAAAACTGAACTATGAAATGATTGAGTACACTAAAAGAACACACACGCACGCACGCACGCACGCACACACACACACACAAAACGAAAAACAGAAAAACCAAAAAGCTAAATAAATATGTGAACCACTGGAGTCAGGACATAAAAGCTTTATTATCTTAAGTTATGCATTTTCAATTATATTTATTATCTCATTGCAGCTTTTAGAAACTCTTTCCTATATATCAATTGTGAACAATTTGATTAACTCGTTTGTTTAAAACATGTTCTTCCCTTGTTGACAGAAGTCAAAGGCTGACAAAAGTCTGTTATGACTCAGATCTGCAGTATTTTCTGCTGGAAGTTGTTTTCATCTCTTTAAGGAAGTGTTTTATTGGATGGCTTTATTGCTCTTGTTAAACCAAATTGAACATGGAGGACACCTCAGTGTCTGTTATTTTAAGCCTCGTAGATAATTGCTCTAAAGTACCACGTTAAGTGGTACTTTAACCTGGTTGAGTTTTCTTAATCTACTCTTGCTGAAACAATACGAATCCTGAATGCAGAAAGTTTAGCGTACCAATTCTTCCAGAGCTACTACAATGTTTGTGTTTTCATTTGTTTTACATTTTCTCAAAATTACAAAATATTTTCATCTGTAGTTTTACCTGATGTTCTGACAATAATATTAGTTTTATAATAGCTTTTATATTGACGGCACATTGAATTACTGATTCAATAATATTTTTCAAATAGAAAAACACCATGTGCAATACATAATTTGGAAATCTGTCAATGTCAACAAATCTTTGCAAGAATTTTTTTCCCGCACAAATTTTGCTGCCCAGCAAAATATTTCCCCGTTGCCAGCTCTTGGATGAACCATTATGCTTGTGTTCATAAGAATATTAGGTTTATGGAAAATCGTAAAAAGTGTGTGATTCTGAATTCTGAGTGCCGATCACAACACGTAGTCAGAGAGAAATATTCACCGCCTCCTAGAAGCTGGTAGAGAAGCAGTAAACAGATTGGTTACGATTGGGGATTGCTTCATTGTGGGATTCAAATAAGTTTTATCCATTAATAGGAAATGTTCTCAGCGACGAACGGTGGCCGGATGAACATTAACCTGGGTGTTGCAGTGACAGAAAGGAAAGACACGATGCTGCAGGGAGAGGATGCAGCCAAGGTCAATTCTTTTACCTCATTAAGTTAAAAGAACATAACGTAATTACAGTAAAGTACATAGTTTCCCTTTTTTTATTCTGGAAAATGCCACAGGAAAAATTAGGTTTATATTGCAAAGCAAGAGCAACTGTGATCGAACTAAATTAAAGGAGGGGAAAAATATTTTCAAATGGTCGACTTAAGAGCTACTGTTCTATTTACTTTATGAATCAGGTGTGCAACTTAGGAAGACAGAGAGCACAAGAGACTGAGGTGAAAGGTCAGAGACTTAGTTTTAGCATAACAGTACACGCAATATGGATTTTTTATTTTATTTTATTTTTTTGCAGTTTGAGTACTACACAGGTTCGGGTTGTTCAAAATTATGAATAAAAAAAAGTCCAAATATTTAAAACAAATGTCTGTGTTTTGGAAAGTTGTTAAACTGTCAAATTCCCAAAACGTGGTGATGGTTAAAATTGTCAGAAATAATAATGAACTTAAATATCATACCAATTTTTGGGAAATTTGCACATAGGAATTTACCTCAAAGTCAAACAGTTCAAGAGATGTATAAAATTTTGCTGACGCTTCTTTTAGGGTCACATTAGGACTACGAATAAATACATTTTTATTAAACTCTCTGTTTAATATTTCAGGAGGAAGCATCCAAAACAATAAAACGTGGTAAGCAATCAGAAAAAAAGGCAAAGGAAGGACTACTCTTTCATCTGAAAGAAGTTTTTGATCTCAGACAGAATCATTGTGGCTTGTATTTGGTTTTACTCCTTTTTTTATTATTTGTTTTTCCACATTTAGTTGATTTAACTTAGGCTTCGGCTTAAAGAAATTTCTACCACATGCTAGAAATACGGAACACATGGCGAAAGCAAGAGCTGTTTTTCTTTATCAGAACTGATTTTAGACCTTTTTTTTTTTTAAAGACTAGACAGCAAAGATTTACACTTAAGCTATTAAAGGTTTTAATTGTGTGAAGACTTTGTTTGTTCAGTGGATGATGAATCAAAGTGCAAAGAGCTTTGATGCCCCACAGAGGCTCACTTAAAGTTGATATTATATTTATTGTGCAAAGAAAGAATGACCAGACTGAACGCAAGTAAGATGAAGAAAATGGATCACCAGCAACGTATCAGTACTAATGCCCTGTGTGTTTTTATACTGTACTTATAAAACATAACTTGTGAACACAGTTTGTTTGGCCAGTTCTGACTGAAATCAGAGAAACCATAAATGCACCTTTGCATTAGAAGATTGTTTGCCTTCATCCATGCAAACTGAAGCCACTGCTGACAGAAAGTCTGCAAAAAGACAGGCAAAATCACGTTTTTCACACTCCTGATTTATTGTTTCCAGTGCAGCCATAAATAAAATCACTGAGTGTAGGAAAATCTCTTCTTTTTTTTTTCTAATTGGGAACAAATCAAAATGGGGTTTTTCGACACAGGATTTCACAGCGTCTTTTCGCTGCCAGTTTTGTGCAACACGACGACAATCACCAAAGCAATGGGGTCAAAACAAAAGAGTGAAAATCACGAACGGTATTGACTCGTTGCTAAGGAACATAATCAGACGCTGCCCCAATAAAAGGAAGATGACATTTATAGTAACATAAAATCTCTTGCTTTCATAAGTTGAATAAGGAACTGTTAAGATGTGTAAAGTGACAGGAGCTGCAAAATTTTGCAAACACTGAACTGATAAAAAGAAAAAAAGAAAAGAAAAAAAAGCATGACGCATGCATGAGCTCTGACTGGAAAACTAAAAAGTCGTCCAGCAATAGTATCATCACCATCCACTTAGCTTGCACGCCTCAAAACCATGAAAATGGGACTTTTTAGGCAGATATTTAAACAACAGACTCAGCCTCCTCTGTAGAGGAAAAAATAAATAAATGTCCACTTAAAAAATATATACAATACTGACTCCATAGATAAAATTGTTCATTGTAAAACATCTGCGTGAAATAAATCACACTCAAAGAAGAGAACTCAAAAGTCACCAGGTCTCAGGATGAGTGAAAAAGGAGCTCCTGTCACCGACCCTTGAGCAAGACCGGGGAACTAAACAGGGACAAACGGCAACACATTACTTTTAATTGCCAGAATCACTGAAATTATGCTCAGAGAGGGATTTGTGGATGAGAAGCAGAAGTTGGCTATAAAAATGAAGAATGCTGCAGCAGGTTGAAATCAACACCATGTTATGTTGAATGCATCTCCAGAGGTCTGCATAGCTTGAAGTTGTCAGGGTCGGACGTCGTGGTATACGAGACATTTTGAACCAAGTTGATGGTTGGAGCTCCTCTGGGTGACGGTTCCAGGTCAAACGGCTTTCAACAAATCTGACGTATATTTGAATATAGACATACAGAGAAACGTTCATCCAACTGGGATCATGCAGGAATAGGCATTTGGTAATACTAAGCCTCAGTCAAATACTTTATGAAAATCAATCCCATCTTTGGTTGAAAACTCATTTGTTTTTGTCCTACAAGCACAGAACTCATTGCCTTTTGTCTGTGTTATAATCTACATTAGTATTGTCAAGGTGTCCCTCTTAGCTCACTATTTCTTCAATATCATTTTTTAATTTTTTTACAGTGACATAGTAACAGGAGGCTTTAATTTAATGGCCTGAGTTTGGTGATCCATACGCAGCGTCACCACTCTTTGACAGCTTTCAGCTGCGGTTTTAGCTGAATGGTATCTTGGTATCATGAGCTACTATTTCCCAAGATTTTATGTATTCAGAGTAATCGTTTGAACTAAATATACAAATAATTAGCGTTATGTTTTTGAGAAATTGCACTTGAAAAATTTCATGGCTGAATTACCCAAAAATCACGTTTCCAGCTGCACCTCAACATTGAGGCACGACAAGCAGCACCTGGATCCAATATTTCCCTCATACAGTACAAAGAAACACTGTTTCCCCAGGTCAGTGATTTGTTTACACAAGGTCTTGTTCGTGTGCCTGGTGAGACAAACCCTGGAGCATGAGATCATACTGCATGTGCAGGCTGATTACTGGTGTGCACTCTTTTGGAAACCGTTGTGGCTGCACATGAACCTGTAATCCATACTTTCTGAGGCTAATCTCATCTTCGGATTATCCGGAGAGGAGATAATCGTCTCCAACATTATGGCTCACAGTGAAAGGACAAAGTGTGCTCTCACGCTTCCATTGGAAAAGAAAAACTGTGGCTTTGAGCAGTGCAAGAATGCAGGTGATTATTTTAGTTTTATTTCTTTTTTTTTTTAAAGCGATTATTGAAGCAAAACTGTCCTTACTCAAAGGGCTACATCATTAAACTTGTTTTTTTTTTCCCTCTAGCTGCGTTATGTTGTGCTAAAAAATATCCCAATCACGGTACCAGATTCAGCACTTTATATAAAGCGTTTAATTTATTTGTTTTTAAACTCGTTACAGCTGCACAAGATGATAGCACTGGTTACAGTCATCAATATAAAACAAAGAGACACAAGAGACTTACAAGATTAACACCCTATGTTGCAGTGACTGATGACATTTGCAGAGTTATTTACATGAATGAGCACTGTGTTTGATTTCTGGCCGTTTAACCAGGTGGCAGATGCAGAAAGACAGTGATAATAACCCGATACATGCACAAAAACAAGACAATAAAACTGAACTGACAGATTGCAAAAGGCATGACAGTGACACAGGGGTCTGCTCTGAAATTTTCTTCTTCTTTTTTTTTTCCACTTGAGTAGATGACTAACAGAACAATTTATTCCCAACAAAAATCTGAAGCCATGATCTACGTGTGGAGCTGTGACCTCTAGAGAGAACCGACGCTCATGCTTTCTGACAGCGTCCACAAGTAGAACATAACCAGGTGCAGATGTGAAGGGCCACACCATGAACGGGTGGGGTCAAGGACAACAAATCCAGTGTATGAATACCATAGGAAACACTGGAATTAGTCATCTAGAAAGCTTCAGATTGAAAAGACAGACAGCAGTAAGGAAGTTTCTATGTGTATCTTTACTGAGAGCATCTGTTGTTTGTCATCCTTTGCTTGCTGCTTTTCCGGGGATTCTCAATCGTCTCAATGTGAAACTGAAAGCAGGATTCAGATCCTGGGCCTGAATGCCTCCATGACTTCCATCTAAATGCATTTTATCTGCCTTGTTAGGCATTTGGAGACCCAAATGGTTATACCTGAGTGAAGCTGTTCCCCTCACACGTTCTTCAAATCAAACAAAATTGGTGTCAAAGGTTTGTGCAGTAAAAATGGTGATTTGTGTTGCTATCATTTTAGAGATTCTAATAAACGTTTCCAGAGACGATCAAATGTCAACCACATTTACAAAATCAAGCAGGTTTGGTGTCAAAGGACTGCGCTAAGAAGATGCTAACAACACAAACCAGCACAAACATAACACAACTAATTTACACCAGTTTTGTTTGATTTTGTGAGGAGGGCAGGTTGATCTCCGAGGACGTCAAGAAACAAACATTTTTTTCTGCTCAAAACAGCACAACTTTAGCAAATCTGCATTGACCCCAGATTTCATTTGATTTTGTAACTGTGGGCTGTCTGGTTGACCTTCATTGACCTCTGGAAACATTTATTAGCACCTTTAAAATGAGAGTGGCGCAAACCAGCACAAGCGTTTGGTACCAATTTTATTCAATTTGAAAAAGGTGGAGGTGGGACCAACTTCACACAACGAAAATCCATTAAAAACAGGCAAATAAATCAACTGGAGGGGTGAAAAATTGAGACAGTCGACTGTTGCTTTTACTCTTCAGAGCAGTGCAGCTTTTTGCTGCTTTATATTTTCCAAGAACTAGGCAATCGGTCAAGACTAAAGTGCTTTGCAAAGGTATTCGTACCTCCTGAACTTTTTCACACTGCAATGACAAACATCAGGGTATTTCAGAGCGGTATTAGAGACAGACATCCAACACAAAGTGGAGTAAAACTGTGAAGTTCAATGAAGACACTAAAATGCGTAAGAGAAATTTTTACAAACAAAAATCTGAAAAGTTTGTTGTGGATAAGTATTAATTGGAAAATGTCCCTGAGGTTTTAGCAGATTTAGAGAACATCCATGAACACCAAAAAAATTAAAAGCTCTGTCTGGACTTTGACTGGGCCATTTAAGCACATGCATGTGCTTCGATTTAAATGTTTCCATCGAAGGTCTTTGTTCTATTAAATAAGCATATAGAGAAGGTTTTTTTTTCTCATGTAGGTGAGGTGGGAGACATGACACGGCATAGCTTTACCGCTGACCGCTTCAAACATCAGTGAACAAGAAGACGAACTATAATTTGGCTTTTTCTGCATTTTCCCAGAATGTTGACTTGCACTTGTATTCTACAAAAGAGTCCATCCATTGGCTTCAAACTGTAAATGACTCAACGACGACATTATACATCTGAAGGAGTGTTTAAAATTAAAATAGCACCAACAACTAAAAATTACCTAGGTTTTGATGGCTCTTCGATAGAGCTAGGAAATAAATCTGAGCATGACAAAGATCAAAAAAACATATATCCCAGATGGACAAATGTCGGTTTAACTATACAAACATATCTCAATATATGTTCTTCCCCTTTAAGAGAAGGCAAATAGAAGATAATGCAAATAAACAGTTACCCCACAAAACAATAATTACTTGTTGGTTTGGTCCGCACAGGATGCCGTCTGGTTTTCCCAAAGGTTTGGGAGTTGAGCAGCCAAAAAAAATGAGCAGAAACGGGCCGTAGTGTCACAGGAGACTCACCCAGTTAGAAGGCACAGAGGTTTATGAATGAATGGTCAACACCCACCTACGCAAAGAGCGATAGATGCAGACTTACTGTTTCGATTACAAAAGTGCTGAAAATAATCTAAACTCAGTCCGTAATACGAGGAACATGGCGATCAAAGAAACATCTTGACAGGAAGCTTCATTTTTGATGAGGAAGCATGTTTCTGTGAAACATAAGAAGCTTGTCAGTAAAATGGTACAACATGGATTACATCCCGTTGCTTTGACGAACCATAGGATTTTTTCACCGTTCAGTAAATTATAAGAGCTGATTTTACTTGTTTTTCAGGCTTGAAACTGAGATTCATACAGCTACATGAGGCAACTCACAAAATAAGGAATATTAAACATCCTCATGATGATCTATTATGGTGACTCAACTTTTTTGTTTGTTTGTTTTTCAAATTAAATTAAACATTGCTTACAGTATGTTGTTCATTGCAGTTCTATGTGTGCATAGAGGAGCTTTCTCTCTGTGTATCCAGAACTCTGAAACACATTCAGAAACAAGTGTAACAATGTTATCTTCCTGCAAAAGTATGTACATTTTGTACTTTATAGAGAAAAAGTAAACTCAGCATAATCAACATCAATGCTACACAGAACGATGCAACAGGCAACAGAAAAATGGGAGACATCATTACACACATCACATCAAGTTAAAGATAGTTAAAGTCTGAATCTGACTGTTTTTGTCTGTATCTGCAGCTCCAGTCCTGGCTAAAACTTAAGAAAGATAAATCTGTCTCCACACTGGTTTGGCATGGCCTGGACTTTTCGTCTCTTGAAGCTCTTGACTAACAAACAAAATCTTTGTCTCTTTAGTCTTGTTATTCTCTTGTATCTCAAGCCCACTTCCCCCTTTTCGTCCCTCAAATCCAGGTTTATTTAGTACATTAACTCATTGAGGTCTAAAAGCTGCAAGCAAGTGAACTCACGCTTGATGCTGCCGCACAAAGTCTGCAAATTGCCGGTCCTTAGCATAGAGTTCAATGATGCGTATCCTGTCTTGGATTTCCTGCAGAAAAACAGGATTTTGCTTGATAAGGGACATCACAGCAAAAACAGTGAAATTGCACACAGGACTGATATCAATGTGGACCATAATAGGACATAAAAAAGAAAATAACTTTGCTCGGTTCCATGCATGACGTCCAGATCCATTTGTGCAAAAGCCCTTTCCACTGTTTGCATATGATTGTATTCTTAAAGTGATGTTTTGCCTGTTTTGAATCTATTGTTTATACTAAAACTCTTTTAAGGATTTTATCTTGGCTTTCCAGCATCTTTACTTTCTCTATGTTTGGCCATAACTTGGAGCAAGCTGAGGATCATTATCTTGTTGAAAGATCCATTTTGAGTTCAATTTTAATTTCCTGACAGACGGACCCATGTTATCTCCGGCCCTGTTTGATAGGATCCAGAACTCATTGCTGAGTCAGACGCTGAAAAGCTGCCCAGTCGCTGAGGCAGCTAAGCAACCACTAACACAACAGTATAACTCACTATTTGTATGAAAGTCTTCTCCCGACAAAGATATTACGTGCCTATACCAGACATGTCTACTGTTACTGTGCAAAAAAAAAAAAGTGTTTTGATACATAAGTTTTGATTTTTATAATACAGTCATGTGAAGTCTCAATGTGGACATCATCTAAATCCAACCACTGACATGGTTTCATGCAAAGAATAAGCTGCTGTGTGCCTTTATTTCATTAACTAAAAGGACACCAGTGACCACTTGGTTTTCTTTTTACATCTTGAAGTCTGGACAAAAAATTGCTGCCTGTCTTTTAAAACCTGGTGGACTCCTTTCTCCATATTTCTAAAGGTGTCCCCCTGGGTTCTGTCCAAGGACAGGTTCTGTGTGCCATTTACGTCTACAACGACTTCAACATAATTTTTTTTAAGATTCCATATTTCTGTTGCCATATTAAAATCTGGATTCCCTTTGTTGACGCCACTGGGAGCGCACAAGTGCTTTGTGCACGTCTCGTCAATTAAGTCGCATCAGTTCTCGCCTTTAACACATACAATTGAGGCTGTGTCATGCTGGGGCAGTAGAACACTGGACTCCAGCTGTGGACAATTTTATCAGCTCTTAAAGAGAATGGGTTCAAAAGGACAATTTGCTCCTTGTATTGTCTGCAGCAGGCCACACACGTCCAACATGAGTCGACGAGTGGGAAATAATACGGGCTTATTTTCTTGTCATGCGTTTCATGCAGATTTTCTTTTAGGTTATAAGTATCTGGGCGTCTGAAATGATGAGAAACTGAACTTTAGAACTGAAATGTTCTCCATCTTTATCTGAGCTGCTTTCCCATCTAGTCTCAATGATGACTCACTTTACAACATACAGAGCAAAGAAGATCTGCCATGCTGTGTTACTCTCATTACACGTTTCTATATCCTTCAACAACACTTCAGATTGACATGACCAATCTTTTAATTACCATTTAAAGGAAATGGAGGCAGGGAGGGGAATAGATACTTACTTCTTTGGTCAGCTCACTGTTTTCATAGATGTGCCGTATCTCCTCGCTGCTAAAGTCGGTGGATGCCTCGGCGCTGGCACTGCTGTACATAGGCGCTTCGGGATAACGACGGTAATAGTGGCTGTAGCCTGTTGTGGCTTCACTTTCATACATGGGGTTGTATTTGGTTGCCCTTTCCAATGATGGAAGACTCTCCACCCGCCTGAAGACCCAGAGAAATAAAGAAAATAATTAGTCGAGATGTAAAGACAGGGAGAGAAACCCAGCCTCAAATTAAATAACTAACCCACTAAGGTAAACTGTGTGAGACGACTGGTGTGCCTGTCTTCAAAATCTGAGTTTTCCAAGTTTCCAGGTATGAACACACCAGCACGTCCTGAAGTGAGAACTTTGACTTGGAAAGTCTTCTGTCTCTGAGCGACTGTGAGCTCAGAGACAGTTATATGCCAGCCAGACATATAAAATATTGTGAAAGTTGTATATATACATAAGCTATTTGTTAGCACTTCTAATAGTTTCTACCTCAGTGACCAAGAAGCACACACTGTTTCTTATAATCGCTTCTAGTGAATACAGTTTCTAAGTGTTTACACCCATAAAATGGAGAGGAATACACTGTCATCAGCTTGATTGCTACTAGCAGTTAACATCCCAACATGTAGTAAGCCTTGTTGGTTTTCCGATTAGCAACCAGAACATGATAATCTAAAGTGTGAAGACACTTCCAGGTCCCAAACATTTTTGAGCAGCGAAAGGCCAAGATCAAAACACTGCAAAAATGATCTATCTTTTATTAAAATGTGCATTTTGGCACACTAAATCATTTATTTTGTTTATTTCCAAATTTGAAAGTCAATCAGAAATTGAAATGGACAAAAAATAAAAAGTCACAATAAAGTTTCTTTAATTTAACCCTTCCAGATTTTTACGGTAATTTCACCCCCAACGCAGCAGACAGAAATTAATCTAAGGGGCGACTCTTTTAACAGACAGTAAATTGTGAAAATAACTTGCTAGAAATTAAAAGTTCCACTTATTATGGATAAATAGTCAACACATATTTACTCACAGGGCATTTAAAGAACTGCGTACAATTAAAACAAGCAAAAAATCTCCAGGCGGACATTTGAAAATTAGGTCATAAAGGGTTAAAAGAAATGTTCTTGAATTAATTTCTTAACATTCGGTACATCAATTATGTTCCCCATTGGTGGTTCAGGATGCAACCCGTTACTCACCCAAAGATAGATGGACATATCAAGGCTAAGTTTTGCAGGTGAAAGAAATGTTGGGCGTTGTCAAATTACAGATGTTCTTGGGTGGGCAGTATTGTGTCTCCTATCCTCACCGTATGGGATCCTCTGACTCTTCCTTGTCGTACTGATCCCGAAGTGTCCTGGCCAGGAAGAACAGCACTCCAGACGCCACAAACAGGAAACCAGCGACAGAGGCTATGGCTATGCCAACCACCAGAGGCTCAGACACATACTCCTCACAGTGTTCACCTCTGTACCACCAGTTCTCTCCAACACGACACCTGGAGATGGAAAAGTAAAAAAAAAAAAAAAAAAACTCAACTTCAGTATTATTGAGCAGCAGAATCAAAATGTTTCGGCAAATAAATCACGTGAAATTTATTTGCTGTTTGCATTTTTGTCGCAACAGAAAGGATCAATTCATTTTAATTCTGCATGTGTCATAAAAATCACAGATTTCTTGTTATGGAAGAAAATCTCTTATTTGTTTTCTGTCTCCATGGAGGAATGCAACACTTTTAGCTTGGAAGTTAATGAGAATCCAGCAGCACGTGGCACTGCATTCATGTGTTATTATGCTGTAGTGGGTGTGAAACAGAGGTTAGCAGTCATCTTGGCTTGTCTTCCCCAAGTCTGCTCATAATTACTAATGTGTTAAAAAAAAAACTTGCATGTCAAAGTCTGAGCAGGGCTAACAAAAAGTTTCTGTCACTTATTTCCAACGCTGGCGTTTCATCTTCAGCACACGTCCATAAATCTGTTGCACATTCAAACAAAAGTTGTGATAAAAGAAAACACATGGCAGACATCAAAGTAGGCCTGTGGGAGACTTCGAAGGGCAAATATCACATTGAAGAGCAAGATATTCTAAAAATTGTACAAGTCTGAAACATAAACAAAACACAAACTGTTTATTTATTGTGCTTCTTCTTGACGGATGAGCTTGTGCTGGAGCAATTGACAACAAACTGCCTCTCATGTGTGCAAGCGAATTGGTAAAAAGCTCAATCATCATGGCCGAAACATGTAGCCAGCATACATATTGAAAATGAGATCTGCTGGTATGCATATTGATCAGTGGTGCTCATTAACACAAATTTATTTTTACGTTATTTAAATCACTTTTCTGAAGTGAAATAAGTCGTCTGCACCATGCCCTCCGAACAAGATGCCCAACCTGCTCTGTTTGGAAACAGTAATCAAGGCACAGACTGTTTTTGTGTTGTAGGAAAATGTGTCAAATGGATGTTTGGCTGCTAAATGGTGGCAGAAAGAAGTTACATAGTGTGCTCTTTCAAAACAAAGATCATTTATGCAGAAAACATGGATTAGCTTTATGAAAGTAAACGCAGGTGGTGATGTTTCTCCACACCCACCAAAGTTTGGCTTTCTGTTGGAAAAAACATTCTGTGTTGGGAATATTAAACAATTAGAATCCTGGGAAGGAACAACCCCAGAGTGTTGAGAAAACAAATTAGTTAATGCCAGCTACTGCAGAAAGCTAAAACAGGAAGTAAACAGCTAGACAACCAACGTGGCTAAATCTGTTGTTTGTAAGAATTAACATTGAATTAATGGCGACTCTCTCCAAACCTTCCTCTAGCATGTTTACCTGCGATAATTAGCTTCAGCTGTGACTTTTTTCTTTGTGTCTGAGCAAAGTGAATCAGAGAGCATCCGACTTTAGCTACAGAGTGATTGCAAATCAGTATTTTATATTTTCTTTCATTCACCACATTTATAGCAGCAGCTGTATTAGACATTTTAGAGCTAAGAAACATAGACAAACTGGAGATTGAATTGCAGAAGCCATGTTCTCTGAAAAACATTCAAATGTGCAAATTAAACCCTTATGAATGAAACATCGATTGATTATGTTTTATTCTTGCACCACCACTGAATACGTAATGTTACGTATTCAGGTGACTTGGTGGTAGGGATATTGTGCAAAAGATAAGATTCCTTTCACAAATAAAGCAGCATAAAGCCTGACACAGGGGAGAAAAGCACAGGGCAGGGCACAAAACAACCTCAATACATTATAAAGGTAACAGGCAGCAACATTATTCAAAGCCACAACCAGATTTAATTGACTTGGTAAAGATTATATTAGTTGACAGCTTTTATAATACACAGACACTCCTCTCAGTCCTATGGCACTTTAAACTCAAATGTTACTTCCAAATTGTTGGATATATGCTTTCTTGTTTAGCTCTCCAAGAGTCTATCGATGTTGTGCGAACTCACTGCAAGCTTCTCCTAAACGTTGATCTTTGTGGACATACGCCAGGTTGTCTCTGCTTTGAGGCAAACAGATGATGCGCAAATTACTGAACCTGACCACAAGGTTAAACTGTGCGTCGCTCAACGCAGCGTGCCACCGCCTGCTGTCAAGCGATAAATCAGCCAGGGGCCTTTCATGTGAAAGCAGCCTAATGATGTTGGTCAGAACCGCAGCAGAAACTACGACTTCAATCCGAATGCTGCCAGGATTTCACTGGTTTATATTAAATTTTTTTTCTTTACCAGGTCCAATTGGCACCGTGGTAAACTACAGCCTGAGTAACTCTTTTTTTTTTTTTTTACTTTTTTTAATACATGTATTTCTCAGTGGTTGAAAAAGAAGATAACTATTGAGAGCTACAGACTTAAAGAGGTAAAAATGATAAATTTCTTATTTGAAATTAATGTTTTGACTACATGAGGTAGAGAACATCATAAAATTTGTTGTACTTCTATGACATTAGAGGGCTTAAATCTTTTCAAAAGTGTAAATCTTCACATTCTTTCATTTGAAACCTTGTTCAAAACACACCTACATCTGGTCTGTAATCTTAAAAATCAGCACAAGAAGCAAAAAAGCTCTAAAATCAGTGAAATAAATAATTGTATTTACACTTATTTCTTCTAAACTCCACCGACTTGGAAAATCTGTTTAGTCACTGCGGCTTTTTAGAACCGAAGACTTATTCGGTTATTCCCCACACACAAACACAGTATTAATCCCTCGCCCACCTGCAGATGGCTCCCTGGCCAGGGATGATGTCACACTTGCCGTCATTGAGGCAAAAGTCTGTCTGCAGCTCGCAAACGCTTTGACACGGAAGGCCGTCAACACTGAAGTAGCCCGCATTACAGACACACTCCGCCTCCCCGGACCACTTGTTCACTTTACATTCTGCGTACTCGTTGCATGCCTGGAACTTGCAGGGATCGGCTTGGTCACCTGGAAATTAAAAGCAATTGATAAGAAAATATGTACTTGAATTATGACAGGTACATAGGAATTTCTATTCAGCTGCTTTTTTATCATATAATCCAACATAAAAAATAACCAACCTTGGATTATATCCTTGGATGAATCAGTAGTTGCTTTTTATGCTGCAAGTTGGTCTATGTCAGCCACTAATCTCAATGAGATACAACATTCAAAGGTATTCAGATTTACTTGACTAAAAGTAAAACTTTAGATGTATGCTGAACATCAATTTATTTGTATTCGATTTTAAATGACTAATTTATTTTTAGTGTGAAAGCACTATTTTGTGCTTTTTTAAGTTTAGAATTTAACTTTTCTTTTTTTTTTTACTTTCTTTATGTGCTTGTTGGTATCTCTGTTTTGATGGAACATGTTTTAAAAGAAATAAACAAAAAAATGATCATCATAGAGCCACTCATGTCTGATCAATCATATTATGCATTTCTAAAGAATATGTTTACATCTTCCCCAATGTTCTGAAAGTGCTATTTTACAGCTCTTAGGATACTGGGAGAAAAAAATGGAATTGGATTAAATTGTAAAAACAACACAAATTTACAAACTCACAGCAAAACTAACAGTTTGAAAACACATTTTACATATATCAATACACCAGTTCACTCTGCCTGGTGCACAATGCTACTCAGAATTGCCTTCTTTGGAGTTATTTTAGTCTGAAGGGTGATATCCTATCTGTTCTGTTTTGTGCAAAAATGTAGAACAGTTAAAGTTCCACTGGATTGTTTCCTCCACCCATAAAAAGTGTTCAACCCTTCCATGTTTCACTCTTTTTATTGCTTTTACAAATCAATAAGGAGCCAAATGACTTGCCTTTTTGAAGAAGAAAAAAATATACAAAACATCATTTAATGCAAAAGTAAAAATTATTCTACAAAATATATTCACCTGTTTTAAAAAAGACTGACCTTGATCAACAGAGGTCTAGCCAACTGGTGCTAGTAGTCTCTCAATGAGTGAGATGGAGATCACCTGAGTGCAGTGACTGCGTCTCCAATGAATGTGGTACAAAAACACCTGTGTCTGGAAAAACCATTAGCTGCTTGAAATGTATTTCTGGCTACCATTACAGCATGAAGACAAAAGAACACTCCAAGCAAGTCCGAGAAAAAGTTATTGAGAAGTATAAGCTGGCGATGAACAAACTGCCCTGGAGTTTGGGTAAATCTCTTTTCCTTCCAGAAGCGGAAGGAAAATATCAAATGTGTAAATCTGACTATCAGGCCATCCTCACAAACTGAGTGACCGTGCAGGGAGGAGTCTGGTGGACTAGGCCACCAGGACACCAGGAGTTATAAGCTTCAGCAGCTGAGATGGGAGAGACTCTGCACGCAGCTGCCAGGATTTTTTTCTCCAGTCGAAGCTTTATGGGAGAGCGGCAATGAAAAAAAACAAACTCATATCAAGGCTCGACTAAAGTTTGCCAAAAGGAAACATGGGAGACTCCACGGTAAAATAGAATAAAGTTATTCGATCCGACTACTTTCTGCCTGTGTTTGTTGTTTTTAAACAATGAGATTTGCTGTTAGCCATATTTTATTTCATCATAAAGTACCAGAACCAGCACATAATTGTATAGATTAAACAGTACTACTCAAGCACTCAGGGCTTATGTAGCCTTTTTACACAGTACCCTTTTACTCTTGGCTAATATTTTGGCTATTCTAGCCACCTCTGATTAAAGTTCAAAATAACACTTACTAAATGACTCAATTAACAGGTAATTGAGTTATTTTAAATATCTGGAAGGTTTAAGGTTTACAGCAGCACCATTTTTATTTATGTTGTTCCTGAGCCCATTGTACCACACTCTCCACCTCACTGTTTTGTAGCTCAGATTTAGCAGGTCTACATCAGACTGTAAGTATAGACATCAAATGACCATTCTAATGCTTCTGAAATCAGTCTTTTGAATAGAATAACTATTGGCATAAAGTGCATCTGCACAGTTCCTGTGTGGTTTACCCATGTAGACGTATAAAACCCGTGCAGCCAAAGCAATATAAAATACTAAAGAGAAGGAATTCTGCTATAGGAAACATCAGAATACAGATTTTGGGATTGGATTATTCCCCTCCCAACACAGAAACAGCTTAAGGGTGCTTTATATCAGGCTTTGTAATTGCATTATTGGCATGTGATTTATGTTTGTATTTCCAGACAGGCTCACTTTGATAATATCTGTTTGTTGTTTTATTGGGTAGAAACAGATAAACAAATCTGCCAAAGTCTTGAAAAGCACATTTGTGGTAGCTTTCAGCACAATAAGAAGCACATTTGGCTATATTAAAACAGGCATAAATCTTTTTCTCATAAAAACATTGCCATCCATTCCTTTTAGTTCAGCTATATTATTAGTGCATGATGTGATTCAGCAGCGTGTTATTTTCTATCACTATGTTTCACATTAACTTTTTCAGTGATTAACTTTATGGCAAATATTATATTCATTCTCAAAATGAATTGTTGGCTCACAGTTGATTAGTCAGTCTAAGAAATGCCAAGTATCAAAGGAGAAGCTTGGATGACAATAATTAAATAATGAAAGTAAACTGCTTAGCTTAACCTCAAGACAGACTTGCTCTGTCAATTATGGTTTTGCTGTGTAAGCATTGAGTTTATTTAGTGCAAAAAACTCACCCGACTCCACATCCAAAGAGTATTTATCAATGGCTAGATTCATGGTCTGGTACGCAGTGTTACAGAAGTCCTCTAGAATTAGATACACAGTGGTGGTGACGCCCCGGGCCACAGGCTTCCCAAACTTCATCCGACTGTTGACCACGATGCTCCCATTCCTGAAGTTCAAGATCTCCAGATTCTCAAAGTGGCTCAGGTTGGACTGAAGATAGGGCACAAGCTTGGAAGAAATAGAAAAATCAGATTTTGCAAGCTGCATGGTGGTATGGACTCTTACCTAAACAAATGCAACATTGCTGTGGTTACCAGTTCTAAGAAGCGCTGTTCCAAAGCCTTGTACTCTGGGGAGCTCTTGTTAAAGAGATCCTCAGAAAATACCATGTTGGTCACTCTCAGGCTGAAGAAGACTGTCAGAGCTCGCCTCGGGTTTATAGGCATGGCAATGCTGACTTGGTCTGTGCCTTGGGCCACACTGAATGGGGATCCAGTGCTGCCTTCCTCTGTCTGGTTTGTCAAGCCATAATCATTAGGAATCAGGTCGTATCCGTGATCTTCATCCAGGTCCTCCTCAGTGGTCTACCGCAACCAAACAGAAAAATGTCTTTAAAACTAGGCTTCTAATTGATGCCATATCTTGTCAATGCATTTTAATGAATTAAAATAATTGTAACTTGTTCTCCAAAGATTCTCGGATGAAGTTGCAAGAGGCATACTTTTCAATGTAAAGTGACGTGTAAGGCTCAAAACTTATTACAATAGAGGTCCTTTACTGGATGTCGTATGAGTACTTGTCCCATCTTTGGACGTTCTATGAATGCTCAACATTATACATTAAACAGGCATAATGGCATGACTACATACAGCTTAAGTAAACAACACTGATTAGTTCTTTATTGTATTATTATTGTCAGTAGCTCATATTATTGAAGAATTTATTCCTGGTTCTTATAGAAAGCAGTCAGGATACACAGTGAATCAAAGCCTATTTCATTTCAGCCTATATAGTCACACATTAGTTAGGTGGCTGCTGAAAAAACCACATTGGGCATATCAGCATCAGAATCTGACAAAGGGGCAGTGGAACTAGTCGGCCTAGTCCAAGGAATTATGTTTGATTTACATTTTGTGGAAAGTGAATTGTGTGTGAGTGTGTGTTTTGCAAACTTGTGTAACCTGTGTAACCAAAATGTAGTAAGCGAAGAAGGTAAGATGTTGGAGGCAGTGGGGTGATTTGGTCAATCCCTTGTTGGGTCTCTATCCATGTGAATGTTACTTTGAAACATACCACGTAACTAAGCTTTTCTTGGACCATGTACACCTCCTCATGAAAACAGAATTATCGGACAATTGTGTTCTCTTTCAATAGAAAAATGCTCAATCCACAGAACAACAATGGGTCAGAAATGTTTGAAGAGGCCAAGGAGCATTGAACTGACCTCCACATTTCCCAGATCTCAATCCAAACAAGTCAGATTTGTGTAGTAGTCATGTCATAACCTGCAGAGACTAAATTATCTGCAGCTTATCTTGATTCCAGATATTTCAGTACATCTTCAGAGGTCTAGGGAAGTTTATAACTTGGCATGTCAAGTAACAAAAGCAGGACTGGCACACTATGACGCTGGCAGTCATAATGTTATGGTGCATTCAAATCAAGTCATTTTAAACTAGTTATAGATTACTCAAGAAGATATTCTATTCCACATTGTAAAGAAACTACATTTAAGATGTTAATATCAACTTTACCTTTACCAGTGAAGTGATGGCCTCGTCAGGTAGGGGATTAAAAGCTGGGACAATGGATGAGAAGATGGTAAAAGGGGATTCCTTCTCTGGAGACAGGGCAGTTGGCAATGGATGACGTGGGAAGTCTGTTCCGGGTAACTTTGAATGGTCCCTGTTGACGAGCAAAATCTCATCCTCCACAAGATCTCCTGCTAAGATCTCTGGTGTCAGAAGTGCCTCTTCCTCTATATCCTTGGCTTCAGACAAAGATCCCTCTTTTACTTCACTTCCATCACTCTCAATTGTCTTGTCAAAGCCTTTTTCATCAAATGCAGGTTGATCGGGATAGGTAAGAATCACATTGATCCCTACATCCTCGTCAGAGACTTTGCCAAACTTGCTAGGGTCCTCTGGTGCCTGAACCACAGGTTCATCAACATCAGAATGCAGCATGGTTTTGGCTACATCGGGCTCTGACACCTCAGTTGGTACATTCACAGTCTCTATTGGGGGTAAAATAGCTGGCTGGCCTTGTTCTATTATGGTCACAGTTAAAACTGTAGAGACCTCAGGCTTTTCTGAAATCTCAACCTCATCTTGGTGCCCCTCCTCAAAGGTTGTAGCAACTGATTCCTCTCCAACTGAAGCACCATCAACTTCTTCTTGCTCAGGTTCTGATTTAACATCTTCAGCCTCTACATGAGAGATTTGGTCTTCTTCAATGGATGGCTCAATTAAACTGTACAGGTTATCTCGGCCTGACCCAGATGCCTCCATTTCTACTGGTGGCTCAGGCAATGTGGAGCTCTTTGGCGTCTCCTGGGAGGGAGGCTCCGGTAGGAGCTCTTTAGATGGGATGGTCTCTGGAGCAGGGGCTAGCACAACATCCTCCGGCAACAGATCTTCATCCACAATGCCTGCAACAAAGATGAAAAGACTCGGTGTCTTTGATGTTGTTTTACAGCAACAGTTGGTGTCTACTTCAAAACTCGAGAAAAAAAAGTCGATAACTTACTACCAGCTTCAGGTGGATTGGTGGCGAGTGCCACCTCAGGTGACGCTAGTTCACTCTCCTCCAGAATAACGATGTCCTCTTCTGGTGCCAGGGTGTTGAGTCCTACTGGTGGTGATGATCCACCGCCAGTGGGATGATCCAGGGTCAAGACTTCTGATAGGTCAATGCCCTGCAACACAAATAGGCTTTGTTAGCTAAACACAAGTCCATGTATGGATCCTTCCTGGAGACAGAAGGATCAGATTGGCCACGTACTTCACACTAAAGGGAGTTAGATGTGGAGGTAATCTGATTGGATTCCCTGTCATTATTCCTTTATTAGATCTATTTTCATTGGCAAACTGCTAAATCCATCCACAAATAGAAAAACTGAAGACAATACTGCAGACTGATTGCAAAACACATAAGCGCATGTACCTCAATCCCTTTTACAGCTTTTCGTTAGTGAAGATAGGTAGACATAGAATGTCTCAGACACATTAAACGCATTAACAGTTTTTAATGGCATTTGATAGAGTCTTTTACATATCCAGCACATGGCACATGTGGATGTCAGTAGCTCAGTGATGGACAAGAAACATATGTGAGGACACCCACACACACAAATTTTGCAAATATATATATATATGGACAATTCTTTTGTCCACAAGAATCCCTTTCTGCACACATTTAGGTAGAGATCTGTTCTGCATTGGATAACCTGGAACCAATTCTGTTTCTAGTGTCTGGTCATCTTTACTCATTGTTTCAAATGACTGTTGGATGTTGTGGCAACAGCCTGATAATAGAATCACTCATCTTGTAATTTATAGTTTGCATCTGTTCCATGTCACATTCATTCTGATGGGTTTCCTTGGTGCTGAACTTTTCCTTCCTGAATCAACGCCATGCGACAGTTAGAAAACACTCTTTCCATTAGACAAAACTAAACATTGTACAGTTATCTTTAAAAGGACTGGAAGACAGCAGGTTCAGGTTTGTTACATGTCAACAAAAAACGCTTTCTTACACCACTCTAGTTCAGTCAAAGAAGCAGAAATTTTGTAATATTGATTAAAATGTCCTAATGTAGTTCAGGAAACAGCTGCTTTATTTAAAACATTTATTTGTCTAAAGCTGGAAATTGTCTACCAGCAGATTTGGTTCTAAGAGCTTTGACACTTCTTATGGCCAGAGCTAGCTCGCCTGTCACACGTCAGTAAGGAACCACAGAGATAATCCTGTTAGTAATATTGGATTAACGAGGTGGGACTCATAGTAAAGAATGGGATCTGTTCACACATTCAGACCAGACAAAACATATGCATGTGTTTCTCTTTAATTGGCTAAAGATTTAAACACTCATAATTTTTATATTTGCAAGTTTAATCTTTTCAGATATTGGTAAACTTAAAGGGTTTAGTTGGTGCAATTAAGAGCTTTTAGTTCAATTATTTATAAAAGAAAAAAAATGAACCAAGTGTGTGCAAAACAAGCATTGATACTCATGAGAAAGCCCAAATGACCATAGAAGATTTTAGATGGTACTCTTAATTCTTAATTCTGGTGTGGTGCACTGTTGTTTCTGTCCAAGAATAGTAGTAGATTAGTATGGCAAGAGCCAACCTAATCCTCAAAGCCTTCACTTCATCCGTCCAGGGGAGCTCATCTGCTGGCTGCACTGGTGAAGTCTGGATAACATCTCAAGCCATTTACAGGTTATCGGAACATCAGTCATGCTGCAAAGGTCAGCAGCCTCAAACATAAATGATTTATCAAATTGGTGGAGCCTAAAGCAGGCAGATCAGGGAGGTGGCTACTCACCGCCGCTCCGTGTGCAACGCTGACTGGTTCAGGAATCTCAGACACTGTGGAACCAGTGGAGAAAAAATATTAAAACACATTGTCACATAAAAAAGGAACATGGCCAAAGTTCAAATATTTTCGCAAGGCAGAGTCTGCTAAAGTTTGTTGTTGTTTCACCAATGCTGTCTTACATTTCAGCTTTTCTGGGTGTAAATATTCGGCACTGCAAGTAAAACCTACCACTACACCATAATCAAAGCAGAAAAACAAAGCTAAGCTGTCCATTTAGGCTCTGCAGACACATATGTTGGCCATATGGGTGTTTAGCCTCCTTTTCTTATGTCACAGTCTATAACTAACGTAGGCATCAGAAGGCATCGAAGTCCAGAGAACCTCACAAACACAGTAAACGAATGACAGGCTTGCCTTAAAAATATGAGCATGGAAAAAATGAAAAGCAGGACAGAGATGGGATAGACATTATCACTTCATTCAAGAGCCCGCAGCCCCACCCCCAAAAATCAGTTAACCTACTTACAGTCTGCTTGAATCCATAGTAGACTATACATTTTGTGCCCTTTAAGAAAAATTATACAAATTTTTCATATCTGTTTTACTCAGGGAATGTCACTTAGATGTAGCGTGTTGAACATGAGAATCAGGTCGTGCAGAGATAGTAGGAAGTTACTAGGTCTCTGAGGTGAGTAGCTAGAGACATTAGGTCTAATGAGCTAATAGCATAATCTTAATCTCCATCCAAACTGTCACGCTACGCTTTTACAAGAAGGAGCAAAGTGAGAAACAGAGAAGAAGCTGTGCTACTGAGACTGACAGGTGTTAAGCTGCGTTATACCTGCACATGAAGTGTTGCTCGCACCACAATGACTGCTGCACCAGAGCACAGCTTCAACAAGTCAAGACTAAAATACATATTTACCAAATAAAATGGATTATTAACAACAACCTTTTTATTTTAATGCTCCTAATGCTGATAAATTTGGAGCTACATGCAAGTACTATGTTGTCTGCATAACATAGTACAGATAACGATACTAACGGTACTACTTCTCTCTATCTTATGTTATAGTCTCTGCATATACGAGACTCTAAAATTAACTTAACATTCTCTCTACATTAGCTTGCTTTTAAACTTGATTTAAGTTAACTTTAATCACCCATAAAATAAGATGATATAAAGCCATATTATGTTCCAGAAAGTGTTAAAGATTTTAAAGGGAAGGAAGCAAACCATGTTGTGACGTCAACCTGAATGACGCTGCCTTCTGTAGTGGCTCCAAAAGTTTGAAAGCTTAGCTGCAAAGCTTTTAATTCTGCTTTTCCTTTGCGTGTTACAACTCCAGTTGACTCAGCTGATCTGGTCAGTGCATGTATGTAACTAAGGCTTTAAAAAAACAAAACAAAACAAAACAAAAAACAGCTTCTTTTAATTATTACAGATCCCAGGTGTGCTCTGTAGCACAAAACTTAAATCACATCAAAGTCAAACATAATCAGGGTCAGACCGTTATCAAAGCCCGGTGGTTTCCATAGATTTGAAAACCACACATGCGTTTTTCCAGAGTGTTTCACTGGCTGGAGAATAAGAAAACATGGTGATGTCTAAAAAATATCCTAAAGGTCACAAGTGGGGTTGGGCACTTTACTAGGGCTGGAGCCATTTCTCAACTTCTTAAAAAGAAAATAAAAAAGGATTGGTTTTTCAGAGACAGAAGTGGTTCAGTGCCACGTCATTATGTTGTGAAAAAGGTCTGTGTTGTACACCTTTGATCTTCTGTCTCCAATTAGCTAAATGTGCTTAGAAGAATAAACCAAAACAAGGTCTTTAAGCATGGGAAAATCCCATTATTTATCTCAATTGCCCTTTAATTAGACGCCCAAATATTAGCAGCCACATCTAACCAATGCTTTTGAAACAATTGCTGTTGGTGGCCACTCTTGTGGTTGTAAGCCTCTGCTTTCTAATTCTGCAGGAAGCAAGTGTAATGAGTATAAAACCAGAGTGCAACACCGCAGGGCCCTGTAAGACTCTTAAATGTTTAAGAAAATATTTGTCTTGTCTGGTGAACAGGGAAATAAAAACATGAGCAATTTTTAAATAATTTTTGAAGTATATTTTATTCATACATGTTCAATTTCAGGGTTAGGGTTAGGGGTTAGGGTTAGGCTAACCCTAAAAAGAAGATAAAATCATTAAATTAGAATTGTATACATTCTGAGACTTTACATACTTCCTAGCAAATGTTTTGTAAACTACATTTTTATTTTCTTAATCATTACCTAAAGATAACATTTTGATTAATTTTTTTGCAATAACAAAACTAGATACTGTTTTGAAGTGTAAAGATATAATTTGTAATTGATAGATTTTTTAAAGGTGTACAATTTATAATTTAAAAGTGTACATGCTACTTTTCAAATATGAAAGAAAAAAAGAGAAACATGTGAAGATGCGAATATGTTTGATCATATTTAAAATTAACCTAAATTTGAATCACATTGGTAACATTGTTGCCTTGCAGCAAGAAGGTTGTGGGTGTGATTCCCGGCCGGGGTCTTTCTGCACGGATTTTGCATGTTTTCCCTGGGCTCTCTCTGGGTTCTCTGTCTTCCTCCCACAGTCCAAAAGCATGACTGTCAGGTTCATTGGTCTTTCCAAATTCTCCCTAGGTGTGAGTGTGTGTGTGCACGGTTGTTTGTCCTGTTTGTCTCTCTGTTGCCCTGCGACAGATTGGCGACCTGTCCAGGGTGACCCCGCCTCTCGCCCGGAACGCAGCTGGAGATAGGCACCAGCAACTCCCGACCCCGTTAGGGAGAAAGGTGACCGGAAAATGGATGGATGGATGGATTGAATCAAAACCCATAAAAAGTTATTTGATTAATGTAGACAGAGCTAAACAATTCTATGTTCAAAACATTAAAAGCATGTCGCCCGTTTGTTCTGTTAAAAAAAAATAAAAAATGGTGCAAAAAAAAATTCATTTATATTTTTGCCTGATTGTTTTCTGTTTTCTTTTATCATTTCTTTGTGTGTGCTCTTGATTAAAATAACTTGATATTGATCACTCTTCATGATCGCTTGCTATTTTAGCCGGGTTAAATAATAATTGCCTCCAAACCTGCTTCTGAGGGAAAGTCGCTCGATATTTGTGGCCCTTTGACTATCAAATATAAATCAAAAGAAAAGTCGGCTAAAAAACCCTCCCAAAAGACAGATAATTGGTTTTATAACTTACTTTGTTTAATTTAAGAAGATTTTACCTTCTACTTACCTTAGTTGAAAGGGCTCTCACCCTAAAAATAATTTATCAAGTGTTTATTGTCACTGCCTTTTTAGTGGTCAACTCTCATTAAGCAGGTTACAGATATTCTTGTGTTTCTTATTTCAACGATACATGCAGCTTAAATTTGCAGCGCACTCATGAACCAGTTGTAAGCATTTACAGTTATCTAAACAGCCACACTTAAACACGCGACTAAATTAACGCAGCGGGTTACAGTCTTACCACTCTCTGGCTCGTGGATGTGATGAGGTTCGGTGAAGATGTTTCTAATCTCGTTGACGGTGTAGACCACTGTGGGGGGATCCTTGATCTCTCGATACGAGCTCTCCACCAGGTTGGACTGCAGGGTCAGGTAGTTCAGTTGTTCAGAGCTCACTCCGGCTCCGTCCACCGCTACTGTGACTGCATAATCCACCACTATGCCGTCCAACCTGGTGACACAAATATGATGCTGTCACACAGAAGAGAAACAGCAAATTCACTGAGGCAGAGAGAAAACATCATGACGATATATAGCATCTCGGTGGGCACAGTATTCAAGAAAAAATGACTAATGTGTTGATTTAATTAAGACTCAGTAAAAATGAGTTCACTGACAACTTCTGTGATTTATGTCTACTTGTAACACACGCATGCCTCTCTGGAATGAAAACCCCCGAGTCAGCTGAAGTGCCAGTATGATCAAAACAAACGTGAAAACCTCGCAGCAGACCTCCTCTCCTGGAAAAAGCCATTCATTAGCCTTGATTTGACTGCTGCTATTTCTCCACCGTAACGGACTGTTGGCAGACAGCTGAGTATGTGCAAACTCAGAGATCCTGTTTCCCTCCCAACTTAGTCTCAGCGACAGACTTAAGTCTCATACTGAAATCCGCTTTCAGAGGGAGATATTATTCACAAATACAATTTTAGAATAAAATGATCCGGCCTTTGCGGACTCCACATGGCACAACAGACTCTGAACTGTGATTATTTGTGAAACAAAACCGAAGCAAAAATAGAGTCTAAAGACATCAGTAGCAGTCCTCCACGCTATAAAGCCTGGGTTTGAGTCATCTGGAGATTTGCGGCACACAGACTTGATTGTTAACTCAATGAATGGCAGGAAAAACAATCAGCAATGAGTTTGGAGAAGCAATTATTGCTGCCAGTCAATCTGGGAAGTGCCTTAAGGTTATGTCGATGCCAATAAAAGTTCAATAAAAGTTCAATAAAAGTTTGGTAAAAAGGATCCCACATTCGAAAATGGCAACTAGTCACTTCAAGACGGAATGTCCTAACATTTTATTGATAATCATTGTGTAATACTCAGAGAAATTGATATTCAAGAGCTCCATCTCAAAAGCTACAGAGTTCAGTTAGCATGCTAAATGTCAAACATCTTTAAAAAGTTGCAGTTGCAAGTGGGTCTGCACAGCTGAATCAGCCACAAGATTCCTAGTAAAAATATCCTTTGAACAGATGAAACAACAATAGAGACTTGTGGCAAGAACCAAGCGCAATATAAAAGCACAAAGTCCACAAGCACGGGGGTTGATGTTGCAAACAGGGTGGTATGACAAATTGAGCCCACACAAAGCAACAAAACTACAAAATAATGGCTGAAGAGAAAATAAATGTGCTGGAAATTCTGTGGAGGAGGCTTAAGGGAGATGCAGTGGAAAAACGTCCACCGAATTTAAAGAACTAATAAAATATTGTGTGGAAGAGTGGTACAAAAACGTTTCAAGTTATTGCAACCAAAGTTAATTACTAAACTACTAAAACATATTCGTATTCAAAACAGTTCAAACTTATTTCTCATTATATGGCCTCATTTTGGTTTATATTTAGGATGACTTTTTAAACTTTTTAAACTGTTGTGCAATCTGTTTTTTTTTCCAGTTTGTACACCAAATGGCTTTAATTTATTTATTTTTTGTTCTGTTGCCTTTTTAACGTATGAGTTTTGATATTTTTCTTTTGACCCACCCTCCATGTCATGAACCTCTTCTCTCATTCAGTTCGGTGAGGTTATGAACCTCGCACATAATAGCACCTGATTACTTGGCAGGACCCATCCTGATCCCTCTTAACAGGTGGGTGGCTGCATTAAGATAATTTACATGTGCAACTGGTGATACATCTAAATCTACCAGAGGAATGACAAGAGATATGCAGGGTTAAACAACACAGTGCAATAACTCACCACTGAGTGTCCTTCTGTGGTCTAGATAAAAGGGAAGGAGCTGTTAGATTTCTGCTGACAGTACAGATGGCATAGGCATCAAAACATGAGGTGTGGGATCAGAAACTAACCTGAAGTCGATTACAGACACACTCTTAAAGCCGGGAAGCCCCTCTAGAGCATCTTCTATCTGCATAAACACAGTCAGGCATGAGATTAAAGCAATTGCTCGTGATTTGTTATAATTCCCAAAGTGTCGTAACAAACTCGGTTTGCAGAAACACAAATCCAATATACGGAAAGCAAAGATGCAGAGAGAAATCAGTTTGTGACCATCATCAAATATTTTTAGCTTCATCGGTTCTGACTTTGGCTGCACTGATAATAACACTCTAGTGGGGATGCTGTTACTGAGAGAAGACTCGAAGTTAGTTCTTTTGAAAAAAAATTTTTTATCGTTTTTTTTTCTCCAAAGAACTTTTGCGGCGCTAGTGGCGCTGTCTGCCTACTTTGTTTCGACAGTAGGCAGACAGGAAGGAGGGCGAGGAGAGAAGACATGCAGCAAGGGTCGCCGGGGACGGGAGTTGAACCCGTGACGTCCGTGTCGAAGACTGAGGCTTCCAAACGTGGGGCATGCTAACCCCGGCGCCACCACAGCACGCCCCGGCTCTTTTAAATTTAAAATTACATTAGAAGTGAAACGGATGCATGAAGTGATTCTCACATTATACTCAATTAGGCTGCAAAAGAGCGACAGAACACAAGACTGACAAGAGAGTTAAAAAGGTATTCTGTTTTAGCCATTTCAACTTCCAAGCTGTTTGTTATGGACAAGGCTGGACTTCTGAATGTTGGCAGCCTTTTGGAAATCTCAGAATCACGGTGAGGGTCTGCATTCTTTATAAACACAGAGACAGCTGTTGTCGTAATGTCGAGGAAGTTATCTGTGCAAATTGCTGATATAAGATACCAAAGCCTATTCCAAGCATGAATTTACTTAATAATCATTTTAAAACTACTAAAATTATGTTTCACAACAGAAAGGAAAGAATAATATTCTAATTATTTTTATTATAGCTCTTAAAAATGTATTAAAAGCAGAGTTGACAGGTCGACACTTTTGGAAAACAAAAGCGGTGAAGTGGCCACAAATCTGTAATTGATGTTTCACTTTGTTACCAATAATCTTTAACAAATAAGAAAAGGTCTTGCTCCTCAATATAAAATAAATCTACATGCATTGCTTTCCTCAACCAATTTATCAAAACTTTCAGACAAAAGGAAAGACTGAAAAAACATTCAGACTGCAAGCACATGTTCTCTTCAAGGTCTGCAAGACTGCATGCAGGCAAGGTGAGTGCCGTTATGTAATGCAGATTTATTTATGTTGAAAATTCCTGTAGAAGGTCAAATAAGAAAATCAGAAACAAAGAAAGCAGCCCAACACAAACACAACCATTATGTAAAAAAAAAAAAAATACTGACTTTTATCCAAGATGCTGTCTATGAGTTATGTTTGTATTTGGGAGTACATTGTGGTTAATGCAACAGATGTTCATGAACAGATTCACAAGATTCACAAACTTTTCCAGGTGCTTGTAAAAGTTGCTTCAAACAGTATCTGTACAAATACTTACATGTGCAAAGGTTTATTTTTTCCCATGAAATCTTATAAAGCTGTGCTTTCAGAACAAGTAATTATTTTACCAACAGCAAACTGTAAAATCTGCAAGCTTTGAGCCCATGGTGCTAAGCTTAGCAACTGCAGTCGTTAAAACGCATTTAAAACAGACAATGCAAGGAATCGCAGGGCATTAGGCAATTAGATTATGTTCAATGATAATGCAATAATCTCCCATGGCAAAACAGACCCAGATGGAGCCTGAGACAAACCTTTTCCGCAAGATCTCTGCTGAGAGTCTGGAACTTGAGGCTGGCTGGATCTCTGAGCTCGTCGCTGAAGACCTCTCCGGTCAGGAGGATGCTCAGCTCCACCACCTGCTCCAGAACAGGAGCAGCCGTGGGCTGAATGGTGATTTCATTGAACAGCTGCACCATAAAAAAACAAGCAAACAAACAAACAAAAAAACATGTAACCAACAAACTCCAGGAAAATGCAAATATTTGTGATGCACAATATCTCTTTGTACTCACTGGACTCTCTTCCACCTCTGGTGAAATGACATCAGCGATGTCCTTTCCTTTATCTACTTCCTCTGCATTGTTTATTTTGTGTATAAAAAAACAGGGTGTTAATTCAGATTTACTCAGAATAAATAAAAATATATATATAACGCTTTGGAAAAGTATTCATTAGAAACTATTCCACATTTTGTCGCGTTGCAGCCAGAAACTTCAATGTATTTATGATAATGATAACGGCCTTTTCATATGATGGATCCAACAGTACTCCATAATCTGCTTGTATTTTAATGTTTTTTAACCCGTTTTATTGTCAGAAAGCTACACTTTATTAAAGGCAAAGACGCAATTTTCAAGTTGTAATGGTGAAAAATCATGTGCGTCATTTTCCTTCCACTTAAACCTTTGTGCATAAAATCCCAATATGTTAAATTTCGTGGTTGCAACGTGATGAAACATTGACCATAAACTGTCTTAGAATCTCAGGCTGAGCTGAACTAGAGTGAAGCTCATGGATCAAACATACGACAAGACAGGGAAGTAGCATACTGACACCACAACAGTTCCTGGTGAGGTTTACAATAAGCATAGAGTATGTTGCAGTGTTATCAGCAGTGACGCTGACCTAACTCAGGAGCTTCAGCTGTTTCTGAACTCGCTGGTGTTGGTGTGCTGTAAAACGGGAAGAAAAAAAATGTTTATGCAGTGTTAATCCTAGATTACAACATCATGTGGACTGTGGGTAAAGATGGGAACAAAAAAAAGTTAAGAAATAACTTTGTGGATTTCACTTTAACACAAATCTCAAAGGAGAACATAATGATTTTTTTCTTTTTTTTTCCTCCTAGCAAAAATGATCAAAGCTACAATCTGAGGTAATTAAGTTTATCCCTTACATTTAGTACACTTCGACACAAGATGTTATCATTTACTGTGACAATAGACTGTTTTACATTAGTAATTACAATTATAAAATTGTAAACATTTTTAGCTATTTTCGTTTTTCTTTCACAATCCTCTGTGTATTAATCTGTGAGGCACTTTCAATTATTAAACATTTTTGTACTGGGTGGTAGGTTTGCATTGCAAAAAGTATAAAGGAAAGCATCACGTTTTTTAGCACTTCACTGCATAGGGTTTTTATAACCATGAAATTTCAATTGTATTAATGTCCTTTTATCGTTCCACTGATCTTAATTGCATGATTTGATAATGGGACAAATTGTTCCAAATTATACTTGAAATCTAAAAAGAACTTCAAACTATGTAACAGTCAATGTGAAACAACTGCCAATATGATTATATATAAATATATATATTAATGTTTGTGTTTATTTACATTACAATGTCAAACAGAATGAATCTGTGAAGTTAATTCAAGAGACCCTGAACTTCTTTTCATTTTGATATACTGACACATTTTGTCACTTAAAATTCATACTTTACAATACATTTTCTGCAAAACTTAAAATAGATTTAGTTGATAACTACGCCATGTTAAAAATTACATGGGTATTTGACTCCTGCAATTATGTTTTAGGTAGTCACTGATGAATAATTGGCCTGAAAAAAAAAGTATTTTATTAATTTTTTAAATTATTTAATTAGTTGCAAAAATTTGCATTAATAAATGAGCATGGTAAAACAACAGCCACAATGTTATTCTTTAGAAAGGGAACTCAAACAAACACCTGCATACAGAGAGGAGATATTCATTTGATCCGCTGCCAATCTTTAAAGTTTCTACAAACAAATGAACAGCTGATTTTGAACATGTTATTGCAAAGAGACAGAATATCTAGCAAGAATCCAGAAAAGATGAGTTAGATGAAGCTTAAAAAAACATTTACGTGCATATCAGTAAGTGAAATAAGCAAAAAATGACTTCGAAATCGTATTCTATTGCATAAAATAAAATAAATGGTTAAAAGAATTTTTTTGATGCGATAACTCGATTAATCATCAGAATAATCAGTATTATTTCTAACATAATTATAAGCTGCAGCCTTAATTCCTTTGGCTGATATTTTCAATGTATGTGATTTTAAGGATGCATCATCTTAAACAGAAAATATTATCTAAAAAAAATATTTAACTATATACATCATGTATACACCTTTACATCGACTTCACTTACTGCCTGTTTTTAAATCCTATAAAGTTTTTTCCTTCAGAAATCTTTTTATTTTCATTGTTAAATTTTTTCCCACTTGTTTCTACGGCCAAATCTGAACTAAAACAAAACAGATTTATTCACTACAGATCAAACAAAAACGTTTTATTTATTCCGCTTTATTCAAAATAGTTTGTTTTGGAAATGTACCAAACCGATATTTACATCTGTATTGGCCCCAATACTGAGAAAAAATCCTAATCCATAAAAGCAGATCTATTCAGACTAATTCTACAATCGTTCTTTATTCATTCTTCATCATATTTAGAATAATTAGACTTTTTGAACCATTTCAGAGAAGTTTTGTTGCATTTTATTTTGAAATTGTTTTAGTTTCAGTTTTCCGATCTTTAGACAGAAAAGACAACTTCTAAATTAAAAAAAGAAAAATTCTACTTATGATTGGAAAGTAAATCAATAGCAATATGAATAGATCAGGATGCCCAACATTTATTACATTTTCAGCGGTGTGGTTCACTTTCACACTGCACTGTGTCAAAATAAAAGCAGATGAGTAATTAAAGTGTAGATATATTGCTTGCAAAATATTGTAAATATTTAATATATGTCAATTTATTGCATGTAAATATTTATAATGTGACTTGAGCTCAGAGTGCGAAGCTACAATTAGCTTACCATAGGATTGTGTTTAAAAATATCAGTGGATAAATGGCTTAAGGCTGTTAATGCCACAGCAGGTTTGGAAAACCACAAATGCAATAATTAAATCATATAGAAATATTGTTAAATGAATAAAATATTACTTATTTTTAAAATATTCAGTCATTATTTCAGCTTGAGTTTTCCAGAACTGATATCGTTTCCATAGCGATGACCAGAGGCAATTCCTTGCCCTTGAAGTCCAGTGAGGTCACTGATGATGTCATCAATGACAAAGAAATTCTCAAGTAGGAATCTCAGTGCTTCAGTCAGGATTCAGACAGCTTTCAGCGAAGAAGATTTGCGAAGAATTTGTGAAGATGTCTAGTTTGAACGCACTCGTACCTTTGTTTATCCCACTGGGTTGGGGCTTGGGATACGCCGTTACCACCGGCATGAAAAAGTTATTAGATTATTGCCTTCCTGAGGAGGACGAAGGAGGTTGTCAGGACTTGCCGGATTCTAAGGACTTGCGGGACTTTGAGGATTTTCAGGAGGAACAAACCAGCCCGGCTGGGGAGGTTTGTTCCAAACCAGCGGACATCTTAGGGACTGTAGAACTAGACCCGATCGTGACCCTACCAGAGAGTACCGCAGACAACGGTACTGTCTCCAGACAAACTGACCCGGCTGGGCAGGAGTGTGAGACAGCAGACGGAGACCTGACGACAGGAGACAGTACCGAGTTTGACGGTACTAAATTTGAGCAAACCAACCCGGCTGGGGAGGTTTGCTCAAAGTATTTTGCGTGCCAGAGACGAGCCGCAGAAGCATCTGCCCCGGCTGGGGAAGATGTATCTGCGGCCGACCTTGCAGCCAAGGCTTTTGCTGAATTCACAGCAGAAGCCTTGGCTTCAGTGGTCCCAGCTCTTAGTTCATCAACGAGGTCTCTGAAAGGCACCATTACCGGTGCCTTTGAGGTACCAAGTTCCCCAGGAGGGGAACTTGGTACCTCAGAGGCAAAAAAGAGGTCTTTAAATGGTAGGGTCACGATTTCTTTCGAAATTAACTGTTTACCGGAGGAGGATCTTAATTCGGAAGAGAGGGTCGGCTTAGAAATGACAGATGGAGGGAAGACAGAGGCTGCAGGATCCGGACAAGCGGGCATGGAACGCTACTGTCAGTTCTCCAATGAACTGAACAGTAGCTGGATGAATGCCACTTTCCAGAGCCTCCTGAACCTGGGTGTCACCAGACGGTGTCTTGCCCGGGAACGGGTTTCTGGAGGCTTCATCCATTCCGTGCTGCGCAAGTCTAATCCTTGCAGCCGTCCGCCATCCGGGCAGACATTTTACAGCAACAGACCTCTCCCCAGCTCTGGTAGAGCTGATGGAGAGAAATCTGTTTTTGGACATGTGTAGGGATTACGCTGTAAAATGTTTGCTGGAGTCCTTGTTAATATGGTTGGACTCACTTGGTGGGGAGACAGACAGAGACTTGTACTGCTCCAACAATTGCTCTGTCTGTCAAACCAGCTGCCTGGAGCTCCTGAGCGATGGCCCCGTGGTTGCCCTGCCAGCGGCAACTTTTCCAACTGATTTAGTTACTCTTTTTGACGATTGGTTGGCATTGGGAGGCAGGCGCCATTGCTCAGGCTGCAAGTCTGCCTTGGAGAAGAAGCACCAGTTGGCGGGTAACAACGTTCTGGTGTTTTTTCTCCCGAGGCGGACCAGGATACATCCAGTGGCGGCCAACCAGACTATGGATGTGCCCGCACAGTCTGCCTGCGGGACGGAGCGGTTCTGTCTGTCCTCTGTGATCTGTCAGGGTCCATTGTCGACCCAGTTTTATACGTATTTGATGGGAGAACATCAAATTCTGAAGGCAGAAAATGATCATGTCTTCTCTGCAGATGACCTCTGCAGTGAAGACATGAATCAAACGGGAGTTTTGTACGTATACGAAAAGGTAAGGAGACATCAGCTAGTCACTGATGTCTCAAGTTCTCCAGCCCCTCCTCTCCAAGGCGACCAAGGCGCGTTTGGAGAGGAGCCAAACTTAACTGATTTGGATTATGAGGAAATTCCAAAAGATGCAATTAGTGACCATTTGGAGGCTGGAGAAATCTGACCGGGTCTTATCTAAATTTATGAACTAAAAAGATTAGACAGGTTTCCTGTTTGCAGGTTTCTCTCCGGGCGCTCCGGCCTGCCACAGTCTGACATTACGACTGTTAGTTAATTTGGCTCTAAATTCTGCCTAGTGTGATTAAAACATTTATTTTCTGCCTTCATGGTTTGCATGTTCTCCAATCAGTGGATTCTCTCCGGTTCGGTCCCAAAAGATGACCGTTGGTCTACTTGTCTTTTCTAGTTGACCTTTTCCCCAAGTCTTCTCCTTTCTCGTTTGCTTAAAGTAGTTTTGGCCACTAGGATTTTGACTTAAATCAAACTCCTCTTTCAAATGTGTGCCAAGTTTCATAATTCTTGGATAAATCGTGGCTTGTGGATGATTTTTAAGGATATTCTTGGGTGTGTTGTGGAGGAATTGGGCCACACACACCAAATATTGGACCACATTCCTGTCAGGGGGAGGACAAGGATCGATTTCAGTGAGTTTGATGCAGCACGGTTGAAACATGAGTGATAGGTTTGAATTAATAACTTGCATTAACACTAATCATTGTCCTTATGAACAGTTAGACTGTTTAGTTGTTCTAGAATGTGTGATGTCTCTGGAGGAGCAGGAAGCGTGACAAATTGTAAACATATTTCTCATAAATGTTTTATTTGGAATAACCAAAATATTTGCTTCAAGCATAAATCTATATTTCTTAAGAACTGGGTGGAAAATGATATTCTAACTTTAAAACACTTGTTTAATGAGAATGGTCAACTGT